CTCAGGTCACATAAAAGGTTTCCAAATTTAAGATGTATTGGTTATTTCAGTGAAGTGATTGCATATGAATGTTGGTGAGATAGACTCGGTTGTGGGGACTAACCTTCAAGCACTTGGTAACTTCGCATACAAAATAGTCTTGCAGAGATAGAGTTTTAACTCCATGAAAGTTCCAATCGCTGTTTCGTTTTCCTTTCAGTCTAAATTCTTCCAGCTCGTTATTGGACCTTTTTATTTTCACGTGTTCATCATTAGCGATTCATGTAGGTCTGTTTGTATTCGCTTTCTCGAGTTAAGTGATGCAAATATGCAGAGTAACAAAGGTCAATGGGATATCGATGGAAACCTTCAACCTGTTCACTATTCATCTATTTAGTGGTTTTGTGGTATCAGTGGCATCAGTGGCATTTGCTCTAGTAGTGGGGCCTGAAAAATTAACTCAAGAATTTTGCTTTGATATAGAAGCTTTACATCATGGCTCAATCCTTGGTGCCTACAGTTAAGCTTAGCAGTGCTCAACCAATCTCCCAATGGTGTAGCACCATTAAATGTCCAGAAGCCGAAATATTGCAGAATTAAAAGCTAATTGAAGGAAAGGTCTACTTTTCTCGCAAGCTGTAAACGTGTAAATGGCTTTTTAACCTACACCTGTAGCTTATACATGTACGTGAGAGCATGCGCATTATTAGAATTCTCAGTAATGCTTTAAAAGGCCGGATGCTAGTTCCAGCTTTCCGCCTCAATATTGTGGTTTTTACGGTGGCGAATTGCGATAAAAGCACAACAGGTAATTCGAAATGGGAAGTTTTCTCTTCAGTTCACCACCTCACTCACGTTTACTTTTTTTTTAACAGATTTAGATGTATTTCCGGCTACCTCTGCATTTTGGTTTACACGTTTAGGGTGTTGGTAACCTTGAGTAGAAGTGACAAAATTGCTACTCCGAATTAAGACGATTAGTTCAAACGAAGCATAATCGTTGTATTTTTACGTTTACCTAAGACTTCTGCCTTAAAGAGCCGTCACTTCAGAGACATAACAGTTTCTGTATGTTACTTAGTTATTATCATAATTGAGTTTCATTAGAATACCACCACATTTACCTTCACCAATAATACTGTTCTCATGATGCAAACATTACCATGAACACATTTAACCTATTTCCGTACTTAATCTTTGACTAATTGGAAGCTTATTCCAAAACGCATGAGAGTGAATCAAGCGTCATATCTCTACAGAAATAAAAGTGAATCAGGGTTTAATTTTCCCATCCGTGAAGTTTAAATATGCGGTTTCCGTCGGCCATAAGAAGCCCTTTGTGGGAAACAACATTCCTGATTTGGCCGATCTTTACTAACTTTTACCCTGCAGATGATCATTTTATGACAGACTACGGCAAAATACGAAAGCCTTGGTTTCGTTTTTATTTAGAATTTCAAATTATTCAAAACGTTCAACACAGTTTTTCCGCGAGATCATAAATGTCATGCTCCGTTTGATAATAGATCAGGTAAATTAGCAATGCTATTGATGATAAAATCCGGTTTACTCTCTGCAATAAACTCTCTACTCTGTGTCCCAGTTAACACTGAGATCGTCCAACAGCCAGCGTTCTTCCCTTCTTCAACATCTACCTTAGTGTCCCCAACTTTGACGACGGATCGTGGATCTTTTACGCCACAAAATTTCATAGCAGAATGGATCATTGCTGGATGAGGCCTTCCATGCCCCGCTTTCTCCGCACTACAAACAAAATCGACCAGGCTGGACCAGTTCAATGTATGTGTGATAGTTTCGACGACACTATGCGGGAAGCCGCTGCCAACAGCAATCATCGCCCCTGTGGATTTCAACTTCTGAAAAACTTCAGTCGTTCCGGCGATTTCGTTTTTAATCAATGACAAATTCTGATTCAGAGAGAATTTGAAATCCTTAAATAAACCGTCGACGCTGATGTTAAATGAACTGTTGTTTGACCCGTTTAACTCGTGCAGTTCGTTCAAGATACTCTGAATTGCGTCTCTCTTCTCCATTCCACGGTATTTGTTGACTAAGCTTACGTCGATTTTGTAACCATTTTTGCGGAAAGCTTCTTTCATTGCAATAGCCACAAGTGGTACACCCTCAATCGAGTCATCTACAGTTGTGCCTGCGAGATCAAACACGAACAATTTCATGTTTGCCGGTAGGTTCGCTGTTTTAATGCATTCGTCCGCCATTTTTGCCAAGTCATA